TTATTAGTGCTGCAGAATGAAAAATAAATGCAAGGGTTTGGCCTGGAAATGACAGGATGTTGTGCATTAAACTGTATTAAAAATTAACAAATTATTAATAATAACGCAAATGAGAAATTGCTGATTTTTGTTCATACTCAGATACAGACAAAAGTAAAAGCAAAACTCACATTTTTTCTAAGGATCACACTTTCATCATTCGAAACAGAATTCCTGAAGAATTCTTTCTTTTGCACACACCTTAACTCATTAATTATTAGGAAGTAACAACGGGATGGGCAGACACAGATTTCAGGACAGTTTAGGGTGCAAAGCCAACACCAGGGTGGACCAAACACCACATTTTTTTAGTCACTGCAGCCACTCATTTAAGTCCTCATAATCTGACGGGATTCCACTTCCAATCCCCAAAAACCAAAGAGGAAGAGTTACCTGAGCAGACCTCCTTGTAGGTGGGGTTTGGGGTGTGACCTCCTGCATAACCCACTTGAGTGGAGTAAACTCCCTTCTGCCTCCAGAACTTCCTCTCAGCTCCCCAGAAACAGCCCATACCTGGATATGGCATAAAACACACATTGTCACATCAAAATCTGCCAATTAATCACTTATTTGCATATTAATTACACTCCACAGTGGAGGCAACACCTATAGGCAGCACCTGCTCGTCAAGTGTTTTCCAAGATTATTTATAGGGTAACTACATGGAAAAATCCATTCTGCATCAGAGCATGACACAAATAAAGCTGCTTTATGCTTCTGAATATCAACATATCATCAAGGACAAACCTTGCAATGGTTCAAAGGCCCAAACAAGGAGAATTCTCAAGCACACACCAAAAAAAAGTTACTTAAAAGGCAGTTGTTCTATTTGTGCAGCACCGTTTTTGCTCGAGTTGATTAGGAAGCTGTCAAAACACAATAATTTGTATTAATGGCAAACAGTTATTTCATTTTCTGCTTTCAGGCAGAGGTGGCAGCAGTAATGGATTATATTATGGGTTATGCAAGAGGAAAAATGCTTCAGGTTAGCAATTTATTCATGGAGATACTTGATGTTCACACAAGATTCTGGTGGTCGTTCGCCCACGTGGCCAATTATCAAAGGACATCAGACTGACAAAGGTGTGAATTAGCAAAACTCTCCTGGTTAAAGGAATCAAGGAACAAACACAACCAACATTTTCAATTGTCTGATGGCTTAGTTAAATAAATGTTTAAGAGACTAATTATTAGATTATTCATTTAGGGTGTCATGCCCGCTCCAGTGTTGTGAAGATGATTCCTGATTGTGTATTTTCTCTCTCAGCAATAACACACTGCCTGTTATTCTTCCCTTTCCAAAACATTTGAAATAAAAGGCAGTTAAAAATAAGCTAAATATTAAATACACTTAGAAATCAATGATCCATGCTGGGTTTTCTACCAGTAACACTGAAGATTTGACAAGTTTAAAAATTACAGAAATGATCCTTCAAAGTACAACCAGAACCTTTCTCAACCTTGATGGCTCACAAAGGCCTGTTATTCCTTTGAATCTTCAGAGATTAATTTAAATTAAAGTTGTAATGGACCAAAAATTACAGAAGTAATGACTGGGATTTCTCCTAACTCAGGTGTTCAAGCAAACTGCATAAATCAGGAGTTCAAGCTGCTCCTGGAGGCTATGGAGAGAGGGAGGAACCTTCTGAGGACAGTTCAGCCCACAGAAGATATAAACTGATGATCAAATTAGTTATTCTCCCCTAATTACAGAGATCACTGGGGCTGTTAGGCTTGGGTTCTTCAGGTAAATCAGGCTGGTGGCAATTTGTAGGATCCCTCTTGAAATTCCCTCCCAGTTTTGCTTCTGAACTTTGTTCCCAGAGGCTTGACCAGTGTGAAAAAGTCAAGAATCTGCATGTCCATGTTAAAGTGCTGGAAATGGCTGTTCCCTACTGTCAGAGAGTGAAACAGTTAATGGCTTAAACATTGTAAGATCACCACAAGACTTTTGTCCACTGCAGCAAACTGCAAAGAAGCAGCTGCTCACCCAGCAGAGCCCACCCTTCCCTGAACATGCCAACTGGGAAAGCACCTTCAGATCAGAGAAGTGGGTGCCACTGTGCAACTATCCCGGGTGCAGATGCACACCTGAAGCTACAAACTGCATTTCCAGATAAGGGAAGAAAGAAAGGGCAAATCCTGCAAGGTGGGATAATCCTTCTTATCATACCAATGTCCTCCCTTACATGATGACTCCGCTGTGAAAACCCCTCCCGGGAGCATCAAAGACTTGTGACATGTCCCGTGACGTGATCCACGATAAAACTCCCCACCCAGGGGAGGTACAAGGCATTCCCACCTGAGCTGGAAGTGTATAATAACTCAGGAAACCTTTGAGGTTTGGGGGGGGGGGCTTCCCCCAGCCCCAACAGATCAAAACCACCACTTCAACCAATAGACGTGGAAGCTGCAACTCCCAAGTTTCATTGCTGGATCCAGTGGGTGGTGACTATATATATCAGTCACCTTATATATATATATATCTCCTTATCCTTTCTTTCTCTTTCTCTCCCTTACACATTCTCTTAAGTGGTATTTTTATGCTTTAATATTGCTATGCTTTAATAGTGCTATATTGCCATTTTTTATGTTGCTATATTGCTACAGATGCTTTAATATTGCTGTAGATGATAACACCCAAAACACCAACTTACCTGTTTACCTTTGAAACAAAACTGTCCTAAAATAAACCCTACATATATATGTTTACAAACACTGATTATTCAGTGTTGTTTCACTCTAATTCACCCCAAGGGATTTATTAATAAGAACCTGGGTCACCCTCCCCAGCACTCACTGTACTGCAGCAGGGATTTTGGCAGGATACATGGGATATTTTTACAAGGAACTTGCCCATAAACCTGTGTTCACGTGTGGTTTTACACGTTATGTGTGAGAAATATGGATTAAAACATGCTTCCAGATTGGATGTTAGGAGAAAATTCTTCACCGAAAGGGGTGAAGCCCTTCCCAGGACAGGGGTGGAGTCCCCATCCCTGGAGGGATTTCAAAGCCATGTGGATGTGGCACTTGGGGCCATGGGTTAGTGGTGGCCTTGGCAGTGCTGGGGGATGGTTGGACTCGATGATCTCAGAGGGTTTTTCCAACTTAAACGACTCTGTGATTCCATGTTGATTTGACCCCGTGACCTCCGGATCCTCCTCAGAGGTTCTTTCCCTTTTCCCTCTCCCAGTTCACGTCTGAGCTCATCCTGCTGCCCTTCCCCTGAGAGACAGAGACATTTTATTCCCTTGCTGAAGCCTCCTCCTCATTTCTCTGCCACCTCACAGCAACAATAAATCCTCCCATCCACGGGAACAGATAAAATTGAAATCTTTGTCATAATAAAACAACCTGCTCCTAAAGAGACATAATTTACAACAATACAGCACTAAATTGCTTTTCCACAGGATTAATACAATCAGAGGCTGATGTTTGTTATTCTGCTAAAGTGGTGCCAGAGAAATTGTCATAAGGAGAGAAATATTAACAATAAAACCCCACATAATATTCCAGAGTTAAGACACGTGAGCTCATGGAGTGCCTGTTTTCCAGAGCACAGCCTGTCTTAAGCTATGGAAAACATGGACAACTACTAAAACAGGGAAATAATCACAGTTCAAGACTTGTAGAACAAAAAGAAAAGTTGACTTTCCCTAATTATTACTACTTTAGGATGAAAACTGAAGAAATAAATAATTTAAATAATAAATTTAAATAATTAAATAAAACTCGGGGGGGGAAAAAAAGGGCAAAAAAACAGTAGGGAAATAAACATAAAAGCCAATAAGCCACCCCTGCTATAATTTGAAACTAGAAAATATGAATGTGATTTTAAACTATTCATGAAGGAATTTGCATAATCCCCAGTCCTGGTGAAGTGAGTGGAGCTTTGGAGTTAGATAGAGAGCTTCCAGAGGCATTCCTAAGAGAAAGGGAAGAAAGGAAATACTGGGGAACATCCTCACTGTTCCCAGAAAGAAAAGTATTATTTGAACATAATGGGAATTGTAGAAGAGTGTTTGAGCATTGAAGATATTTGTCACTTTTTAATTGCTAATTTGCAAAATAAAACCTATTCTTTTAGTGATAGGTTTTGACTGACTCTTAATTGGAATTTCAAAAGGTACTTAAAGATTTCTTTTTTTTTGCTTTTTGAACTTTAAAACCAAACAGACTCAAACAGGAATCTTTAAAGGTTCAGTCATCCCTATAAATAATATTAATCATAAAATTGGGGGATAAATGATAGTACCCATATTCCTTTCTAGAATCCACATCCTTTTCCTCAAACTATTCTCTTTATGGTTCCTACACATATAGATCCTCTAAACACCTCTTTTTGTCAGCCATGTGTTTCCACGGGCAACCCAGAGTATTTTTATATTTCTAAGAAATAGTCACCATAAAATTAAGTATTCTTCTAAAATAATGAAAGCCAAGTGCTACTCTAATAAGACATAAACATCCCATTCTTGGAGATAATAAGTGGTGAAATATTCAGAGAAAAACTGAGCAGAATTGCCCCCCAGGTGATTCCAGAGAGGAACAGCTTTATGGACTGTGTTAAACACATGGACCAGGTCTGCACTGACTGCACAGGGGCTCAGACAGTCAGGGATTAATTTATTTCCCTAAATGGAGACATTTGGGGTCATCTGAGATGCCTCAAGACATCTGAATACACAAGGCTCACATAGATGAGACAGGAATTGGGAGAGACATGAGTCTCCTTCCTGAAAGGCATCCTGAGGGCAGGGAAAATACTCCTGGACATCGGAAATGTAACTGTCTCCTGGAATCACTGAATGGTTTGGGTTGGAAGGGACCTTAGGATCATCTCATTCCAATCCCTGCCATGTGCAGGGATGCCTTCCACTAGCCCAGGTTGCTCCAAGCCCCAACCAACCTGGCCTTGAACACTTCCAGGGATCCAGGGGCAGCCACAGCTTCTCTGGGTAACCTGTGCCAGGGCCTCACCACCCTCACAGCCAACAATTCTTTCCCAATATCCCATCTAACCCTGCTCTGTTTCAGTGTGAAGCCATTCCCCCTTGTCCTGCCCCTCCATCCCTTGTCCCAAGTCCCTCTCCAGCTCTCTTGGAGCAACTTTAGGCTCTGGAAGGGGCTCCAAGGTCTCCCTGGAGCCTTCTCTTCTCCAGTTGAACCCCCCCAGCTCTCCCAGCCTGGCTCCAGAGCAGAGGAGCTCCAGCCCTTGGAGCATCTCCGTGGCCTCCTCTGGACTCGCTCCAGCAGCTCCAAATCCTTCTGATGTTGGACCCCAGAGCTCCAGGTGGGGTCTCACCAGAGCACCCCATTTGCACTTTTTAAGGACAGAGAAACCAGTCTATACCCCACATCCTGACATTACAAACCCCTGAAAGTCTCTGAATCTGAAGTTGAATCAGATCTCCCAAAACAAATCGATTTGTGTCTCATTTCCCATTTCCCAGTTGCCCATTTCCCTTCCACACCTATAAAAAGTAACTAACCTGACCAGCTCAGTAGGA